AGCCTCCTAATGCTTTTGGATATTATAAATGATGAAATATCTGGTTCACAGATGAGAAATGGCTTCTGGTCCTTGGATTAGAGTTATTACCACTTGTCTGAGTTTGCTGAGTAATCTATTGCCTGATGGAAGGCTAACTTGTATAAAGCCTGTCGTTCTCTGAATGACTAGCCATGGACAGTTGCCCAGCTGCCCTGTTTTCAGAGTTCTGGATGTTGTCCAAACAACTCTTTGTAAGTCTTTTTTTTTTTTTTTTTTTTTTTTTTTTTTGCAAGTGGGGGTCAGGTATGTGTGGATCACTACTCGCCGTCCATTGTGGGATATAGCCCATCTTCCTGCCTTGAGGTACCCTCACCCAGGATTTTCATAATGTTGAGAACTCAAAACAGGAATATAATCTCACTAACATTACTTGTATGACCAATTTGGGCATTCGAGTCAATTTCCTCAAGATGGAAAATCTAATGCTTCTCAATTTTAGGATGTCTGAATCAGGGAGGGAAGGAGGAGGGAAATGCCAGTCTTTAAGAACCTTATTCAAGGCATCAATTAGTCCTAATTTCCAGGTGACTAGGGCTTGCCTGGGTCTGACTGACATCGAAGAACCTGACTTCTTCATATGGAAACAGTCTAGCATCTTGCTGTTAGTGAAAGCGATCACAGTAGAGAAGCAAACCTGGGCTTGGGTTTTTGCTATGATAAACTGCCCCATTACTGCACCAGAATGCCTGGTCTTTTGCTAGTCCAAAGACATTGCCCTTTATGTATATGTGGTGTACTGTTCAGGATGTTGTGCAGCTCCATTTTTCGTCATGTGGAGATGCTTCAATTGGTCTTTGACTTTTGACAGTGTTATAGGTGATGGGATTTGTAAGAGGAAAACTTTGAAATTTCCCTGGTGACAGCAAATGAAACCAACAGAAAGGGCTGGCTGATTTTTCTGCCTAGAGCTGTCTCAAAGCTGGTGTTCATCAGACAGATCTCAGCAGTGCACACTATGAATGGAATGTATCTGTGGATGAATAAGAGCTTGCACCTGGATCTCTCTTGATTTGGTGGCGCTGACATGCTGTCTGTTTTCTGCTGAAGTATGCATTCTGCTTTTAAATGAAAACATTACATGAACGTGTTTTGTGAGCTTCTGAATTTTTTCAGATATGTGAACTCAGGCAATCCTTGCTTGCCTGTATGAAATGTATTAGAAAAGTGAGTGTGACTTGCCTGCATATTGTTTCTCAAGTGATCTAAACTAATAGAATCCCTGGCTATCATTAAGTTACTGAGTTAGACATGCTAAGTGGCTAGAAAAACCTTAGTAACAGACTCCTATTATGGGTAAGAGAAACAGCAAAGATAGAGTCATATTTGCATAACTTCAAATCAGTAAAGAAAACCATATATGAACAAGTAGAGTATATTAAAATATGACATGTACAATAATCTTTAGAAATTGTGCTAAAGTTGTTCAATTGACAGTTTCATATGTGTACATAATGCTGTCTAGTAGCTCTCACCCTCCCTCAACCCTTCCCTGGCACTGTCCACCCTCCTACAAATCTCCTTCTCACATTCTCTTTTGTTTGTTTGCTTGTTTTGTGATCCATTGAGCTTAACCAGAGCTCTGTGTGTGTGTGTGTGTGTGTGTGTGTGTGTGTGTGTGTGTGTGTGCTGTTTCTTTTGGGTTTGAAACTATTCATTGGAGCCTGGTTGGGCTCACAGTGGGTATCAAGTTTAGACCATGATTCTCCCTCTTCTAAGAAGCATCTATTCTTAGCTAAGATGTCAGTAGAGAAGGTTGGACTCCACGATCCTCACCTCCCACGACTAACTGCTGAAAAGGTCACTTTTGCGCAGGCCCAGGGCAGGAAGCCACTGCTATTGCATATGTTCACATGTGTGGTCACTCTATCAACAAGGGCATTTCACAGCTCTTTTCTGTATATTGTAACTCTTGAATTCATCCTACCCTCTTTTCTACCACACTCACCAAACTTTAGTGGGGTGGTATAAATGACTTGTTTAGGGTTGAGTCTTCAACTGTCACTTATTCTCAGCACCTTGAGCAGCCACAAGTCTCCTCACTCACTGCTGTCAAAGCTGAGACTAGTGCCTGTCTATAGGTATAGGCATAAATATTCAGATGGTGGCTTGACCCTGTGTTAATTTAGCTTTGCAATCATGACAGGATGCCCTCTAGAGACTTTGCCTTCCCCAGCCATGGGTTTTGACCATATTTCAGTATCAGACATGGATGATGTATAGTGGAGCTTGTCTCAAATCCAATCAGAGAGCAGCAGTTGGTTACCCTCTAAGAGTGATACCACTAGCGATAATATTGCAATGTAGTTTGCTCTGAGGATTTTGGTTTAGAAACTTACCAAGATGGGAATTTTGCTTCTAGGCTTGCCACAGCTGGGTTTTTTAATTTGGCTAATCATTTAAATATTCAATAATGTTAAGGTTCTGTTATACTTCCCAGACGGTTGAGAATGATGAAGACAGTGTGATGAAGTGTAAATTCATGAGTAAGCATTGTGATGAATGTTTCCTCATACCATTGAATCATATATTAGAATGCTCCAGATAAACACAAAAAGTTAATCATATTTTTACTGCTATAAGGATTTTATCATATTAACAGGGAATGCTGATTAGGCTTTCTTTTGGGCCACCAACCATCTCCCAAATCATGACACGGAGACTTATTATTAGCTATACATGCTTGGCCTTTTCTTATGCTTGTCCCACCAGCTCTTATAACTCATTTTAACTTGTTTCTCTTCATCTCATTTTGTCTTGGGATTTTTACCTTTTTTTTTTTTCATTCTGCATGTCCTATTCTGTGTCTGTCTGTCTGGTGGCTGCCTGGCTTGCTGGCCTCAAGTGTCTCCATGTCTTTCTCCCTCATTCTCTCTTCTCTCCTTCTCTCTGCCCACCAGCCCCATCTATCCCTCTACTGCCTAGCTATTGGCTGTTCAGCTTTTTATTAGACCAGTCATAAACAAATATAACAATCTTTGCCTATTTAGAGTAATATTCAACAATAGAATACATCAGTCTTCTCTGAAAAACACATAATTTAAGATAATTCATATTTTTAAATGATAGAGGAAGTGGCTGTATGTTAGCATTCAGTTAGAAAGTCTCAAATGCTATTTTTTTTATAAAAATTTCAGTGTCCAGCTTTCACAATTTTCACATTAATGTAAATTATAAAGTAAGCATGAACTGGTTACATCTCAACTATCTTGGAAATAGAATTTCATTTTAATCTTATGGCCAATTTGTCTCTCCTAATAAATGATTTGATTTCTTCCTGAGGAGTTTATCTAGGACTCAGCAGGGAGCCTATACTAGATTACCTTTATGCTATAGTGATAATCTCCAGGATTTTCACTATGAATCTTACACAATAATCTGGGATTTTTTTTCATGAATGTGCTCTTGCTCATTTTTGTGTATCTATGACTACTGAAACCTTAAACTTTTTTGTGGATTTCCTATTATGAAAAAATGATTTTGTTTTATGTGAGATTCTTGGTAAGGACTTTTTCTCAGAATATTCTTTTCAAATCACATGATAATCTGTGAAAACTAACACACTTCATAGTTTTCATAATATTTTCTTTACTATGCATCAACTTCTATGACAGCCATTTGTAGTGATATATTATTTATGATTTAATAAAGCTTGCCTGAGGATTCAGAAAAGCAAAGTCACAAGCTATAGAAACCAGGCACACACCTTTAATTCCAGCAGCCAGAAGCTAGGAGGTGGTGCTACACACCTTTAATCCTAGGAGGAGGGTTTAAGAGGTAGAAGGATCTCTGTAATCCAAGGCCACCCAGATCTACACAAGACTGAATCAGTCTAAAAGAGAATTATAGCTCACACCTTTAATCCCAGGACTCTGAGAGATATATAAGATAGGAGCAACAGTCAGTATTAGGCATTCATTCTCCAGCCACACTGAGGAGAGGCAGCAGGATCAGCCCATTCAGCCTGAGGTAGCGGTAAGAGCTTGTAACCTCCTACTTTGCTTTTTTGATCATCAGCTTAATGTTTGAACCCCAATATCAGTCATGTGAGAGTGTAGTTGATTGATTGACACTCCTGTGTTGATGTGAGCATTTCCCAGCTGGTTGGTCATCAGAAGAGACAGCTAACACTCAATGGTTGGTGGGCAAAAACATGTCCACTGAGGTGGGTTGGTGCTGAAGGACTGAACAGAGGTAAAATTGGTTCTTCTGGTCCCTTTGGGGGGGTCCTCTTTTAGGGCTATAAAACAGAGACTCTCTCTCTAGATTCATTAAAGTAATCCCAGCATATCAGTGTGGGAAAATACTGGTCTAGAACAAAATAGATTGTGGAGAAGGAATTATCTCCTGAGTAATTCCTTAGAAATGCAATACCCACAGAGATGAGTGGAGAGAGCGTTCACTCTTTGATATGTTTATCAGGGGCTATTAACTCAAATGCCCAACTGCCAGACTCAGAGTACACATGGAAGTTCAAGTAATACAAAAATATGTGATAAACAAGATAATGTGAATTTTTCTACAAAATTCAAAAAATTTGTCTATGAGCCCTACATGCTTATGGACAAGGGCTGCATAAATAAAAATAATTCTTAGTTTCTTTCTTATCAGCATATTCCCTTTGGTTATCCCCATGTTATTTTTACTTCTTTTCTTTTTTAAAAAAATGTAGAATTAAATTTCACCGAGGCACCGAGGTAAGTAAGACAACCACTTACTATGCTGAAGCTGAAGGAAAAGGTACTGTTCAAATAAGTCACAGCAGGCTGTAATGAGATTAAGTTTGGAGATACGGTTATCGGGAAGGCAATGGAGTACCTCTGAGTAACATGGAGGCATTTTGTAACCACGCAAATCATGAAGGATGTGGCTATAGCTATGCCTCCAGTAACTGGCAAGAACCGGTGTAACTGCTCAACAAAAATCCAAGACTCAGATTAAAATCATTTTTCTCCTTGCAGGCTGTCAGCCCATTCCCGTCCGTTACCTCGAGTGGAGTGACATAGAATCTATCATAGCCATTGCCTTTTCTTGCCTGGGCATCCTCGTGACTCTGTTTGTCACCCTCATCTTTGTGCTGTACCGGGACACACCTGTGGTCAAATCCTCCAGCAGAGAGCTCTGCTATATCATTCTGGCTGGCATCTTCCTGGGCTATGTGTGCCCTTTCACCCTTATCGCCAAACCTACCACCACATCCTGCTACCTCCAGCGCCTCCTGGTCGGCCTCTCTTCCGCCATGTGCTACTCTGCGTTAGTCACCAAAACCAATCGTATTGCACGCATCCTGGCCGGCAGCAAGAAAAAGATCTGTACCCGGAAACCTAGGTTCATGAGCGCTTGGGCCCAGGTGATCATTGCCTCCATTCTCATAAGTGTCCAGCTGACACTAGTGGTGACCTTGATCATCATGGAGCCTCCCATGCCCATTTTGTCCTACCCGAGTATCAAGGAAGTCTACCTTATCTGCAATACCAGCAACCTGGGTGTAGTGGCCCCCGTGGGCTATAATGGGCTCCTCATCATGAGCTGTACCTACTATGCCTTCAAGACCCGCAACGTGCCCGCCAACTTCAATGAGGCTAAATACATCGCCTTCACCATGTACACTACTTGCATCATCTGGCTGGCTTTCGTGCCCATTTACTTTGGGAGCAACTACAAAATCATTACTACCTGCTTCGCAGTGAGCCTCAGTGTGACCGTGGCCCTGGGGTGCATGTTCACTCCCAAGATGTACATCATTATTGCCAAGCCCGAGAGGAATGTCCGCAGTGCCTTCACCACCTCTGATGTAGTCCGCATGCACGTTGGTGATGGCAAGCTGCCCTGCCGCTCCAACACCTTCCTCAACATTTTCCGGAGAAAGAAGCCGGGGGCAGGGAATACCAAGTGAGTTGTCCTATGTGGGGTTCTCTCTCTCTCTCTCTCTCTCTCTCTCTCTCTCTCTCTCTCTCTCTCTCTGTCTGTCTCTCTCTCTCCTGCCTCATTCCCTCCCTTTTTAGCCGATCTCTGTTTATTGTTTTTTCCCTCACTTCCTGAAAGTTTTTCAGATCTCACCATTGGAATAGGATTATAAACGTAAAAGTGCAATGCTTTTCATTGCTTTGAAACAGGAAGAGTCGTGGAGCAATGCTGACCAAAGTATATATATATATATTTTTCCTGTTCAAATTGCAGTTCTGTCAGAAGCATCTTTCCTGTTACGTAGGTTCCCAGACTGTGTAGTGTCAATATAGTCTGTTCCGGGGTCAGAGAGGTGAATTCCAGTTCTAAGTGAAAGTTTAGGCCGAGGTTAATGACAGCGTCCGCTTTATTTTTATTCTGAAACCGCGCTTTTAGCAGTCTGGGGTGGAGAATAAGATGCTAAGCTCCCACGAGAGAGTGCCACTTCAAAATTGGTTCGCAGTGGAGCGTCGAGCATGTCCTGTTATGATGTCCCTAAAGCAAGCTGCCTTATCCCTTATTTATTAAACCTTAACACATATTGTAATGAACATGTTCCACAGTGTTACACGTGAATTGGGGTGTCTCTTCTTCATTGTCATGATCAGATTGGTTTTTATAGTCGAGTGAATAAGGAGCCCTAAACTTGAACATCAAAGTCCAAATGGTTTGCATTCTGGTAATTCTGGGTAATGAAGTTTCCATGTAAATATTTTTCCAGGTTATCCCGATTCTGTTAAATATACCATCTTTCTGAGACTTACGAAAACACATTTCATGAGGGATTTATAATTTTAAAAAAATGACATGGGCAGGGTAGTGGTGATTTACACCTTTAATCCCAGCACTCAGGAGGCAGAGGCAGGTGGATCTCTGTGAGTTTGAGGCCAGACAGGTCTACATTAGAGTTTCAGGGTAACACAGAGAAATTCTATCTTGAAAAACAAATGAGCAAAATCCAACCAAAAAGACAAAAAAAAAAAAAACCCAAAAATTTTAATGACATGGATGTACCATTAGCAGGATTAAGTTTGCTCTTTGAGATGGCTCTTAAAAATTAATGTTAATGCCAACAGTTGCATCATATATGGTATGGTATTTTACAACTACTACATCCACTTAAGTCAACTGGCAGGTAATAGGATGTCATTTTCCTCCCCTGTAGCTAAGGACATGAAGTTGCTATAAATTTATATAACTTTTAAGTGTAAATCCGTTAGCCTGTTTTTGCCTGTCTTAAATTGGTATAAGTTTCCTTAACATATATCTAAAACTCTAAGTTCTGTATTTTTAAAGCCACATATGGACATCTTACAGAATTCATAATCTGTATCTGTGATGCAGAATTTAGAGGCAGGGAGAATTGAAATTAATTCAAATGAAAACATACCTAACACTTAACAGCATTAGAACAGAGCCAACAATTCATGCTTATTTCTCATTTCAAGTCCTTTAAAAGCTGTTGGTCATAAAAGGTGCCTAGTACTATTTTTCCACTTGTCATGATTTTTCTGCTAGCCAGTGTCCCATCAATAGCGACTTCCAGATAGTTCTTAGCATGACAACAAAACTGCAGGTCTATTACATGAGCAAAAAAGAAGACCATTAGCCCCAACAGACTGCTGTGAAATATCATCATAGCAATTTTCACTAAGAGGTGAGAGTAAGAAAATTATCAGGAAATGAGATACCCTTGGAGCTAGGGAAGTAGCTCGGTGGGTAAGAGCACTTGTTGCACAAGCATGATGGCTGAGTTAAAAATCCACCAATGACTTAGCACCTGTAACTCCAGCACTGGAGGATGGAGAGAGGGATAAGTAAAGGAGGATCGATACCACTTTCCACGTGCCAGCCCAGCTCCAGCTTCAGTGAGAGATTCCAACAAGGGCATAATGTATGGAGTACCAGAGCAGGACACCAAACATCCTTCTCCACTCTTTTGGTCCCCACATGCTCTCACAGGCACGAGTTCCCTCTTATACACCTGTGCACATGCCAAACACACTCACATACTCACATTCACATGTGCAGACAGACATACACATACGCATACAGAGACACAGATACACACACCGGGAGGGCACTTTACACTGGAGTATTCACAGGCAGTAAGTCATAAGGATTTGATACCATCTACCTCCATGTATTTTATTACTTAAGACAATTCCATGATTTTTGGTTTTGCATCATTTCTCAGAGTTATTATTCTGAGAATCTATGGGATTGAGATGTCCAGGAATGTGACTTCCTGTGGATGGATGGGAATACTGTCCAAGAGAACTGTAAGTAATGAGTCTTGTGCTTGCTGCTGGGGTGCAAAAGGGCTCCTTGACATTATTTGAGTGGTGCCTGGCACTTTCTGAGCCACCAGAATCTCTGTACATTTGGACCAGACTCCTGTACCCAAACTGCTTTCCCTATAATTTGAGAAGACTCCTTTCTCATTCATAAATTTAGAAATTAATTTCATTTGGGGTTTTTCATTGAGGAGAGTTTGATATAATCTAGGCTGATTTGGTTGTCCTGGAAGAGTTACTTTCACAGGCAAACTATTAGCTACAAATTATCAAGCATTATCAGAGGGCTATGTTGATGAATTTAGTTCCAATTAATAATGATAACTCACAGCTTTCTTAGCACAATTTGTAGCTTCTTCAGTATGTTCCATGCAAATGAGCTGACCCACAGTTGGTATCTGGGGCTACGTTTCTGGAGGAAAACAATAATTTGATTATTTTCTCATTTATTCTCCTCTTGTTTCTGTTGTAACTCTCCACAAGACTGTAATTTTAAACTATAACAATAACCTCAGTGCCTATGTTTTTGCCTTTTTTATTGCCATTTTTCCTTGGTTTGTCTCCAAAGTTACAAAACCATAAACAGTCTAATATATTCTGCAGCAACAAAAACCTGGCAGAGTTCTGCAACTAAAGCAAGGGGTTGAAAATTCTAGCTAATGTGTCACCCTGTGAGTTTACTGCCGTTCTGAACATGCAGTTCCTACATTTATGGTGTGCTGAGGGTGCTCAGCAGTCTGTTCAGACACCATAATGAACAGCTTCCACCTGGTCTATAATTGTTTTGGGGGTCACAAGTCCAGAGACATTCTATTAGCAGCCTGTTCTTGCAAATACATGAGAGATCATGGCTCATGGTTGATTTTTGCCAAGTTCATTTAAATACTTTTAATTTTAGTCATAGTAAAATGTCTGATAGAAATGACATTTGGCATGCCTGCTATGCATTTTCTGGAAGAAAACTTAGGAGAGGTTTAACAGATACATTTTACATTTTGGGTTTAGCTTTTTAGTCCCATGTCCTTTTTATCTTTGTTTTTGTTCCAAGTCTTTGAAGCATAACCTAACTTTAAAAGGCCAACTAAAGTGTATTTGCCTTTTATATCTCTGTTTTCCTTAGCTGTCCTGCAGATTTATTTAGTCAGAAAGTATTTGATCCTAAGATAGTATAAAGATATCAGAAGTTTTCTCTTTTTTGGCAGTGTACTTCAAAGTCATCATTTAAACACAAATTAGGTATGATTTCCCCTTAAAGCAAAAATGATTTGACATTACTTAACTAAAGGAGTAAAACAACTAGGTAAATGGTATACTTATTTAAAAACAATTATGCTAATAGCACTGTCAAACTAGCATTTCGAGTTATTTTCTAAATACACTGAAATTAATGAATTATCCTAGGTAGGGTTACTATTGTGATGAAATAGTGACCAAAGCCACCTAGGGAGGAAGGGGTTTATTTGGCTTACCCTCTGTTGTTATTCATCATTGGAGGAAGTCAGGGCAGGAATTCAAGCAGGGCAGGAATCTGGAGGCCTTGGAGAGGTGCTGCTTACTGGTTTGCTCCACATGGCTTACTCAGCCTGCTTCCTTACAGAACCCAGGACCATCAGCCCAGGGGTGGGCCCACCAAGACTGGGATGGGCCCTCTCCCATCAATCACTGATTAAGAAAATGCCCAACAGGTTTGCATACAGCCAGATTTTTTTTTTGAAGGCATTTTCTCAATTGAAGTTCCCTCCTCTCTGATGACTATACTATCGTGTCAAGTTAATATAAAACTAGCTAGCACATAACACTCTAACTAAAGATAAAATGAAGGTCAGTCTGGCAGTTCTTAGAGCTGAAAAGTTAACAATACACTCCTCTGGGCTTATGCATTTATAATTGGGCATAAAAGTGAACTATAACCACAAGAAAAATATGGAGTTTATACATGAGTAATATTAATGCACACTTTCTTGTATGAGCTGATTATTATGTTGCTGCAATGTTTTCCAAAAATTTTCATGTCTTTTGTTTGTTTTTGGTGTTTGGTTTTTCTAAATCCGAGAACCAATTGAAGTACTGCATGGATGGTGCTATGAGAATATCCCTCTTTTCACTACTGTGATGGCTAGCTTTGATTGACAACTTGACACAACATATAAACTCCCTGGAGGACATTTCCCTGTGAGGGGTTGTCTTAATTGGGTTGGAATGTGAAAGATTTCCTTGACTGGGTAAAATGAGGTGAGATAACCCACTCTGAGTGTGGACAGCACCATTTCATGGGCTAGGCCCTGGATGAGGAGTAAAGGCATATATGTATTCATTACATTCTGTTCCAAATTAGGGATATGATGTGCCCAACTGGCTTGAGCTCCTGCTGCTATGACCTCCGTGCCATGATGAGATATAACTTGGAACTGAGGGCTGAAATCAGCCCTTTCACCTCTGAGCTGCTTTTGTCGGGGTATTTTATCATAGCAACAGAAATGAAAATTCAATAGCTTCCTTCTAGTTTACATATTTGCCTTCAGGTACAGGTCATTAAAACTTTGCTTTAGTCATTATCCCCTGGGTCAGCATTTGGTTTCTTGCCCTACTTCGATGATGAAGAGAAACCTGACAGTGAGCAAACAGACATCAGGGTGAGTGGTAGAAGCA